GTAGAATGGTGTATATGCCCATGTCATATTTATATGGCAAAAGATTTGTTGGTCCAATTACTCCTCTCATTTTACAACTGAGAGAAGAGCTGTATGATCAACCCTACAATAAAATTAATTGGAGGAAAGTTCGCCATGTCTGCGCAAAGGTAAAAAAATAACAGAGTTAAAGACAGTTTATTGTATAACCCCCTGGTTTTTGATGCATTTGTTTCTTAATGTTAAAAGATAACTGAACAAAACATGTAAATGCAGGAGGACCTCTATTATCCTCATCCATTGATACAAGACTTCATGTGGGATGGTCTCTACATACTTACAGAACCTCTTCTAACTCGTTGGCCTTTCAACAAGTTACGAGAAAGGGCTCTTCAAACCACAATGAAGCACATCCACTATGAAGATGAAAATAGCAGGTACATAACAATAGGATGTGTAGAGAAGGTGCTATGTATGCTGGCCTGTTGGGTCGAGGATCCCAATGGGGATTATTTCATGAAGCATCTTGCAAGAATCCCTGATTATATATGGATCGCTGAAGATGGAATGAAGATGCAGGTAAGACAATATGCTTTCCCTCCAAAATCATGAATGTTTTGCATTAGTCTCTGCAAAAACTAAGTTTCGCACAGTATAGCGATCGACTTCAAATCAATATTTACTCCGACTCCTAAACTTTGCAATGGCCATTTTAATGCAGAGTTTTGGAAGTCAAGAGTGGGATACTGGTTTTGCCATACAAGCACTGCTGGCTAGTGATCTTACAGAAGAAATCGGCCAGACTCTTATGAAAGGGCATGACTTCATAAAGAAGTCTCAGGTCAGAGATAACCCTTCTGGTGACTTCAAAGCCATGCACCGGCATATTTCTAAAGGATCGTGGACTTTTTCAGACCAAGATCATGGATGGCAAGTATCTGACTGCACTGCAGAAGCATTTAAGGTAAAGATCATTTAAATTGCAAATGTGGTAAGAAATGAAAAAAATACATTAAGGGTGCGTTTGATTACAAGTAGGAAAATTACATGGAAAGAAAATGAATTCCAGGGAATTGAATTACCTAGAAATTGTTTTCATGGAAATTGTAAATTATTGTGTTTGATTGTATAAATTTTTCATGTGGAAAATGTTGAAGTAAAAGTATTTTTTGATGTTCGTTTGACTTTGTTTTACGTGAAAAATTGTCAATTTCAGGGATATCCTCTTTTACAATTATTCCTAAAATTTATTCCCATTGCCAATAATTAAAAAAAAATAAAAAAAGCAAAAAAAAAATAAAATAAAAATAAGGTGGAAAACCAAAAACCACCTATCCCCTAGGAAAAAAAAGGTGGAAAATCACGCTTTAAGGTGTTGTACCTAGAAATTCATGGAAAATCAATTCCCTGGAAAATTTTGTCAATCAAACAGGCCAAAAGTGGAAGTTGGAATTCGAATTCCAAGTTCCATGGAAAATTTCGTGTAATCAAACGGGGCCTAAGATGGGTTCTCACCAACTGTTTTTCTTGTTCCTTTTTATTACAGTGTTGCCTTCTCTTCTCAATGATGCCACCTGAAATTGTTGGTCCCACAATGGAAACTGAAAGACTCTACGACGCTGTCAATATATTGCTTTCCTTACAGGTATCAATGTTTTATCCTCTGACCAATTATAAAGTAACTTCTCAAGTTTTTTGAGTATATGTTGTTGGGCATACCAAAACTCATTTTTTTCCTGTAATTTATTTGGCAATTCTATACCTAGCCCTTGTTTGATTCCCATTTTTGAGATAAAATGAATTATGTAATAGTAGTTTTTTGGAGAATGTGTGGTTAAAAAGTAAGGAAATTTTTTTGAAATTCGTGTATAATTATTTTATAGAAAAATGTGTGGATGAAAATGAGTTTTGAAAAAATGGGGATCAAACAAGGGCCTAGATAGGTAAGTTCAAGTTCATGATTCATATGGTATAACAACGCACTAGAACAAAAAATTTTGTTTGATATGTCAGTTTTCTAAACATTACCATAATAGCTATTAAAATACATGGCCAACTGCATAAATGCTTACAGAGCAAAAATGGTGGGTTAGCTGCATGGGAGCCTGCAGGAGCCTCAGAGTGGTTGGAGGTAGCTTCTTCTTCTAAGTTTCTAATTTAAAAAAGAAAAAGAAAATAATTAAATCCGCCTGCATGTACATCTACACTGAGAAACTTAAGTTACTAATTGTGCTTTATTCTGCCACAGATTCTCAATCCTACAGAATTTTTTGCCGACATTGTTATTGAGCATGAGTACAATTCACCTCATTTGTTTTTTTCCCTTTTACGAATACAATTTAGTAAAGAGCTAGACTAACATGATTCTGATGCAGGTATGTCGAGTGCACTTCATCTGCAATACAATCTCTAGTTCTGTTTAAGAAATTGTACCCAGAACACCGGAAGAAAGAAATAGAAAGCTCTATAGCGAAGGCTGTGAAATACCTCGAGGATGTTCAAAAGCCTGATGGATCATGGTATACATTTCTTCCCTATTTTTGCGCTTTTTATGTTCAAGCATTGCACACTTTTAGCTAGTCTATAAAGCATGGAGATGAAATTTTGAAGGTACGGAAATTGGGGAGTGTGCTTCACATATGGCACTTGGTTTGCCCTTGGAGGACTAGCAGCAGCTGGCAAGAGCTACAACAATTGTCCAGCCATTCGCAAAGCTGTCGGGTTTCTATTAAAAGCACAAAGGGAAGATGGTGGATGGGGAGAAAGCTATCTTTCCTGCCCCAATAAGGTGGGTAACCAACTTGCTTAGTAGAAAATATAGTAACTGATCTTAGCATCACTAATAAAACAGTGGAAAATATAAGTTCCTAAACTAAGAATCGGACAAAAAGTTGACAGAAAAACAAAAATAGCCCCTTACAGATACATCTAATAAAACAGGAATATGTACCTCTGGAAGGAAATCGATCAAACTTGGTACACACTGCATGGGCTATGATGGGTCTAATTCATTCTGGCCAGGTTAGCCTCTGGCACCATATCACTCTTTTATATAAATATTATCTAACTGTTCTTCCTTATAACCTATTTCTTTCATTTTAATAGGGGGATAGAGATCCTACTCCTCTCCACCGGGGAGCAAAGCTTTTGATCAATTCTCAGTTGGAAAACGGTGATTTTCCTCAACAGGTAAATTAAGCATCTTGAAGCCTTCCTTTTGTGTTTTCATATGAAATAGTACAGCAACATCAAGAAAATGATACAACAATATCCTGTAATGTGATTTTACAAGTTTATTGCAACCACCACATTGTCAATTCATTGGCAGGAAATTACAGGAGTTTTCATGAAGAATTGCATGTTACATTACGCAGCATACAGGAATATATACCCCCTATGGGCTATAGCAGATTATAGAAGGAGTGTACCACTACTATCTGCACCAGCCAAAAGCATCTAACAACTACATAATTAATATCGTTCCACCGAATTGATGAGAGCAGTCTATTTAAGCTTTACTTGTTTGATTTTCTTATCAATACACGCATTTATACTACTTTATTCTTTCATTAATCATGCATTGTTATACAAGAGAGATATATCAATAAAAAGATTTATATATATATGTCCAATTTATCTCTGCGCACAATGTCTACAAATTCCATAAACATAAAACAGAATAACATGGTAAACCGAAAACGTAGTAATGTGAAACCTTCTGTTAAAAAGAATAAAAATGAAATTGTCAGTCAGAAAAATAAAACCGTCTTCATGAAAACACTCCAAAAAAAAAGGTTGATGGAACCTTCACACGGTTAAAAGTTGTTTTCTTTGCTTGGCTAAGCAGAAGAAAAAGTAATATAAAATAAATTACACGAGCAGTTGGGGAACAGGGATTATATTATTGCAAAATACTCCATAAAAATCTGTTACTGGCATGAATAATTGATAGAAGGATCAGCAAGAAGGTTTGATCAATGCAGGAAACTCAGTGGCAGCTAAGTGTTGGTCTAAGTCTAGATTAGCATTCAATACTAGAATGCAACCCACGCCTTTTCTCAAAACCCATCACCAATGCATCAGCATGTGGTGGAATTGATTTCGAAGAGGTTGCGAATGTCGCTATGTCATTGCTTAAACAAGGACAGGAGCCATCTTCATTTGTAAACTGCCATTGATGTTCCTACTCAGACCTTTTACTATATGTCATCATATCCATTATCGCTTTAGTAGTGCAAATAATTTAAGAAATTGAAATAAAATTTGAGAAAAAAAAATTAACATTAAAATCTTGTATATCATGCTGAAATGCTTCCAAAAGCATTATAATAAGATTAATTGAGCGCTGAATTAACAAAAAATAGAGATAAAACCAACTTAACTTAGGAATTAGGGTTGCTCGGCATCTCGGCTAAAGACTCAGAGCTGGTGTCGGCGCTTAAGTGCAGGGGTTTAGCCGTTCTAGGTCATTTGTAGGACAGTAGGAGACGGGATACTCCTTTCCCTTGAGTTCATTGCAATGCGCTTTGCAACTTGAAAATAGCGATTTTTAGAAAGAAATCGCGTAATCGTCAGTTCGTTGCTTTTCCAATTTGATTTTCTACCTAAATTTTTCATTCTTCATATTTAGAGTGTATTTGATTGGCATGAAAAATATCACCTACAAAAGAAAATATTTTCCATCTTTTGTGAAAAATAAAAATCACATTTACCTAAGGAAAATATTTTCCTTAAAAACAAGGAAAATTAGGCATATTTTCAAAAGTTGGAAAATGTTTTCCATAAAAAAATAGCAATCAAACACTCTAAGTAGGAATTTGGGTGAAAAATTGATATTTTCCATAGAAAATAAATGTAATCAAACACACCCTTAGGGTTTGTTTGATTGCAAAAATGAAATTTGGGTGGAAAGAAAATAAATTTTAGGGAATTAAATTACCTAAAAATTATTTTCCTGAGAATTGTAAATTATTGTGTTTGATTGGTATAATTTTCCACGTGGAAAATGTTGAAGTAAAAGTGTTTTTTGGTGTTCGTTTGACTTTATTTTACATGAAAATTGTCAATTTAAAGGATATCCATTTCTAACATTGTTCCTAGAATTTGTTTCCATTGCCAACCAAAAAAAAAGGATAAAAAAATTCATCTATATTTTGGTGTTCGTTTGACTTTGTTTTACATGAAAATTATCAATTTCAGGAAAATACTCTTTTTCAATCGTTCTTAGAATTTGTTCCAATTGCCAACAATTAAAAAAAAACAAAAAGCAAAAAAAAAAAAAGTGGAAAACCAAAAAACCACCTACCCCTAGGAAAATAAAAGGTGAAAAATCACGTTTTAAGATGCTGTACCTAGAAATTTATGGAAAATCAATTCACTGGAAAATTTTGTCAATCAAACAGGCCAAAAGTGGAAGTTGAAATTCAAATTTCAAGTTCCATAAAAAATTTCGTGCAATCAAACGGGACCTTAGTAAACATAGTATATATATTTTTAACCAAGAAAATCTACTCTTTTAGTAGTTAAAAAAAAAACATCCATGATCGAGAAAAGATGCATATTCCACAATGAGTTTGGGACACTAGCTTGCACCACATATCAGATTACACATATTAATATCACATACTAAACGTACTCATCTTCTCATTCGACAAGACAAGGTTGTCAATAGCCAGACATAAAGACATATAACATATATTTATCAAAAAGCACATTAATGATGTGATCATATGTAATTATTATCAACATCATACTCGTAAGCATATATGTGTATCAATTGTTTCGAATTTGTCGACCTTAAGAGAAGGGAGAAGGTTGCCTTGGGGCGCAAGACCATGGTGGCCACATGGCTGGCCCATGAAATTTGGTATAGGATAATTTACAAAATACATCTGCTTTTCTTTTTTAAAATGAAGGTTTCATACTATTTATACGTTGTGGTCTTGATGTTAAAAATAAAAGAATAGTACCGTCCACGTCCTATTTCTAAGTACGCTTTGTAATACTCTTATAGCATATAGCTTAAACATAGAGTTTGAGAACTTAAGCTTTGCGGAAGGAGTTCAAATGAGTTGTGGGAACCTGGGAGCCAACAAGGGCACATTCTGCGATTTACCTCCCTGAGCTGCTGAGGGGCTGGAGGTTCAGGGACAAGGATCTAGTCGGACGCAAGCCCGGACACCTTGTAAAAAAAAAAAAAAAGGAGTTTGAGAACTTAAGGGTTAGATTGGAATTTTTCCAAATATTAATAAATGATGAACTTGTGATTTATTAGTTATCATGTGAGTAATTTGGAGATTGAAAACTAGGGGCTTATTGTAGTATTTTAAAAGTGAAGGACCAGTTTGTAAATTAATAAAAGATGCATGCATTGTGATTCTGGCAAGCTTAAGGTCAATTTAAGTTTACAAACTTAAGGGATTAAAGTACAATTTCGAGAAAATATTTGGCCTTTGGTAATTTCAAGCCAAATATTGCACTAAGAACACTTGTGCCATGATTAATATCAAGTTTTGAACCATATTGTACGTTGCATACCATACTGCAGTTTGCAAATGGTATGCTTTGCATTTTAGTTACCTCAAATAGTTTTAGGATATAATTTTGTAGATAGCCATGTGACTTGGTAAATGAAAACCGGACGGTGTAGAAGAACATCGATAAAACCGCCTTATTTGTTGCCATGGAATGTATAGGTGGGGTTTAATGATTGAAAAGCCCGTTCTGCTCTCTAATTTGCTCATTCTGCATCTATTCATGACTTTGAATTTTCATTATCTTGGATTTAGTAATTTACTATATGTGTGTGTGTGTGTAATTCGTTTAAAAATACATGCCCGTGCATTTCCATAAATAAACAAAATTTATTAATTGATGGCAACGAAGAATAAATTACAAGCTTAGACGAGGCACGCCGAGAGGTGATATGTTTTTATTATTTGCGACATGAAAATAATTTAAGGAGAAAAAAAATGTGTTGATGTGCGTATGCATGCACTGCATTAATAGGGAGAAAAGACGATGCAAAGGTGATTCAAACTTGGTTAGATAGTGTGTTGAAGCAACTTGAGAGAAAACTTACAGTTCGTGAGCTATAATCATCACTAATTTGTAAACAAATGATTCACTTGAAGTTATCTAATGAAAGAGAAGTAACAAATCGCGTAAGTATCAAAAATTTGTTGACAATGTATTGATATCTATGCGCAATTTATGAATAAGGGAAAAATATAATAAGTAGAGCTCTTGCAACATGGGCCATGCGCTCACATAGAAATAAGACAGATACAAACTAATATTGAACAAACATTATAAGCTCACGAACAACTGTTCAATTTAATATTGTACAAAAAAAAATTGATGAAAACTATCACTATCTATAAAAATGTTGTAGGCTTTTAATATCATGCAAGAAATATCTGGTATATGACATGAATTGTTTGTTAAACAAGAATCACATATAATAAATTCATAGTTCGAATTAATACCTGCGGAAGACATTGTTGATATAAATATTAGCAGCCAGATCCTTTCACTCCTTGTTACTCACAAAGTATTAGTCGTTAATGTGGCAATTTAATAAAACAATGTGGAGAGGAGAGGGGACCTAACCTTTATATAGAAATTTATTAAGCCATCACATTACGATTTAAACTCTAATTAGGGTTTACATATATTTCTAGCCCATATACTTAAGATTACCATATCATATAAAATATAACTCGTAACGTGTAAAATGACCCAATTGATCACTTAATATATTTGACTCAATCACAATATCATTATAAACCATATATCTAACTCGTAAAATTTACAATCATATAGGAAGCACATATTTAGAATTATTCCAACATTTTTCAACTTGGGAAAACATTTGATTGCAATAACAAAACTTTTGACATCTGGGTTAGACTATATAGGTGGCCACACAAGTATAGCTCCAATGATGACACCTTATGCAACATAATCCGTTCCAACAAGAATGTTAACTTGCACACCAAGTTTTCTTTTCCTTTCACAACAAAACTTTCAAGTTGTCTCATATAAACCCTCTCCGAAAGATCTCCATTAAAAAATGTTGTTTTAACATCCATTTGATGAAACTCCAAATTATAGTGTGTCACAAGTGCCATAATGATTCGAAAAAAATCTTTGGACGAAACAGATGAGAAAGTTTTACTATAATCAATGCCTTCTCGTTGAGTGAAACATTTTGGAACCAATTTCGCTTTCTTTAGTTCAACATTCCATTTCGAATTTAATTTACTTTTGAAAATTCACTTATTATCTATAACTTTAGCATCTGGAGGAAGTTCAACAGGTTCCCAAACTTTATTATGTTCCATAGAATTCATTCTATCTTCCATAGCATTTATGCATTTACTTGACTCTGGACTTGTCAATACTTGATTATAAGTAACACGATCAACAATATGCCCAAACAATCGGTAATGCAGATCTCCTTTCCATTTGCGATCTCTTAACTTGTGGCTCAGAAACTAACCTAATTGTTGTTGGAGGAATTGGAGGTTCCTCAGTTCTTAATTAACAACTTCAACTGGTTGAGAACTGTAAAGAAGAGGTTCAACAAATTAGGCAATTATTATAACAAGCTACTAAAAGAAAAACATGTATTAAAAACTAAAGTAATAAGTTGGACAAAAATAGAGATGGATTTCTACTCTTTGCCGTAAGTCAAAATACACCCAAAGTCCACAAAACTTCACGCCTTTGGAAGAATCACG